GGGGGGGGGATCGGGGAACGGAGGGGTATGATATGGGCAAGGGGGTAGGAGGGACAGGAGGGCTTACCGCCACGAAATAATACGCAAACACAACAACTTGGGCGCCAGCTACTTATACGGCGTAGCACCGTCGAGTGACCTCAGAAGGTCCTCGAATATTTACTATAATTCGAAAAGGCACGGCTAGCAGGGGAAGAGGTGAGGGGTCTCAGGGAGGAAGGTTCCCGAACGCGATAATCGCTACTTACAAATACCTCGGGCTTTACAATATTCAAAAACGGGCGGGGAAAGAAGAGGGCACGGGGGTTTTCCAAAAAGGCGCAACTACTCTAGAACGCATGCAATATATCATGGCACGCGGTTGGCTGAAGGTCAGGCAAAAAGAAAGGGGCACGCAAAAGGCCGGTCCACGTGGGGACGGCTCGCTAAATCCAAAAAGGGAAATCTTCTAAGTCTCGAGAAAACGAAAACGCAATCATACGCAAAACAGTACTCACGCAATAGTTCGCAACACTATGATCCAGATTCGCACTTATCGCAATTATCCCACTCTCACTCAACTCGCACTCAACGCTACAGAACCCTGGCTCGAAGTGGCGAAATTTCCGGTCGTTCTAGCCCTCGTGGGCCTCCAGGGCCTCGTTGATTGGCTGGGGCTGCTCAGCTGAGAGGACTACGCGCGTCGGCATTGGTCGGAAGTTCCAGCATGGCAGGGTATTGGTCCATTCCGTGTTGCTGTCGGGCCTTCCAGGGCCTCGCAGGCGGGTGGCACGGCGCTGGCGTTGCCAATGGTCTAAGGTGATGTCCTCGTGGATGGTCCTCGAGCCAGTGCCCTACGGGGAATGTTGACAGGGAGGGAAGGGATCTTAACTCTAAATACAATAGACCTAGAACGCTAAATAGACGCAATAAATATTAGTTCTGAATAAGATACGCAATACTCGTGCTCGGGGCCAGTGGTGCCCTCGAGCCAGGTGGTGGGGAGGAGTTTATTGTAACATTTTTGTTATAGTGCATTCATTCACAGCTGCCGATATTGGCGGGATGCAACATTGTAAGAACGAGTAACGTTTTCCTTGCAATTCTTATTGTTAATTTGTATCCCACTTACGGCTTCTCGTCAGTTCTTCTCATGAAAACTGTGAGGACGGATGGACTACTTGTTAGGGGAACTTTGATATTTTAATATTTTATTTGTGGTTTTTGATTTTTAGATCGGTGATGTGATAAACTACGAGTGTGGCATTCGACAGTCTGTGAACGAATGCGTTTTGCGCTTGAACCGTAACAGAATTGCTGAATCTGTCTGAAGCAGTTAACTTTGGCCTTACACGACTGTTGTTACGATCAACGAATTTATTTTTCTTGTGGGTGTCAGGAAAATGTTGGTGGGCTTCTTTTAATAAAGAAGTCGTCGTCTAGGTTGAGCAGTTCGTATGTATTTCACGAGAGAGGAGTGTCGTGTACAAATTTCAGATTATTAATAAATTAACCTAGAGAAGGCCCGTCTTTTTATACTAGTGGTTAAGGGTAGTGTGTAAGGTAGGGGTTGCGAAACGGGAAAACGCAGTTCGGGTGTAACGGGACTCTAAAATGGAATTTTGGGTTTTTTGGATTAGGAAGGTCTTAGAAAAATATAAACGGAGTGTTTTATTAGGGTTGGGATTAACGGTAAGGAAACGGTTTTTTGGGAATAACAGGGTGCGGAATTTTATGAAGGATGAGGGTAATTAGGAAAAATGCAAAAAACTATGCAAACGGTACACGGAACGTGACACTGTACCTCCCACCACGCAGCTATGACCCGCGGAAATCCTTCGTTCTGATTGGTGAATCCTAAATGCTTCCCATTTAAAAACTATTCTGAATTTCGAAAAAAGATTTTCGGGAGGGTACTCGGGGGACCCCCAGCCATCACCCACTTTCGGGTGTAAAAGTAGTTCTGGGACACCCTGTATATATCTCGACCTCGGTAATCGCTCTGCACTAACGTAAGAAGCAGCAAAAAACAGTTGGGTGTGCGTAAGCATTTTAAGGTGGTAAGAATCCCAGAAATAAGTAAGTTCGCCCTCCACGTACTTCCTCTAGGAGTCAAACGTGTCGGACGTACTAAATAAATCCTCGGCTGATCAGAACGTACTGAAATCCGAAAACAAGAAAAAAACAAATATTAGCGTTAAGTGCAGCTTTCCCGTACCATTGTTCTTTTTTACGCCCGATTTCTCCCAATATTCCGGCTGTTCAGCCTCATCACACTGAAATTAATAAAGGGAAATGTGGGGGCGAGGAGAAAATGCCAGAGTCGTTGGCAAGGTGCACAAAATAACTACACAGCGCGTAGTGTACCGTTTAGTTTAATACATTTAAATGAACGAAGCATTTTACAATATAAATCCTGTTGCGTACAGTGTACTCCCCAAGTGCGGTTCACGTTCATTTCGAGTCGTGGTGACTAGTCTGCTCAAGACTTGTCCCTATTTCGGTATTCTTGCCGAATCCGTGAATTCTATCGTGGCGTAACTCGCGATATTAAGGGATCATCACAGTGTAAAATTTTCAAAAAATCGATTTTTTTTTTCTTTATCTGATAGTATACATGGTTATAAACATTCTGTCCGATTTTTATGTCGAAATTCGAGTTATTTCGGTCGCTACAGCCTTTTTTAGAAGGGATTGGACGGTTAGACCTGGCGCACTCCTGGCCACCATAGGACACCATTTTTTTTCAATTCAATTTTCCACAAATAAAAACAACGTTAAACAATACATAAAGAATTTTTAAATAATTATTTTGTATATTTCATAGGTGCTTCAATTTGTAAAAAAAAAATTAGACCGATTACCTTATTCCATCCACCTAAAAAAAAATTGCGAAAATCGGCTATTTTGCGGGCGGTCACACTGTGATGATCCCTTAATAGGTCTCGTTAGAAAGAAGCTTCTTCCTCTCAGGAAATGAACGCTCCCACCTAAAAAAAACCTGGCCACCATAGGACACCATTTTTTTTCAATTCAATTTTCCACAAATAAAAACAACGTTAAACAATACATAAAGAATTTTTAAATAATTATTTTGTATATTTCATAGGTGCTTCAATTTGTAAAAAAAAAATTAGACCGATTACCTTATTCCATCCACCTAAAAAAAAATTGCGAAAATCGGCTATTTTGCGGGCGGTCACACTGTGATGATCCCTTAATAGGTCTCGTTAGAAAGAAGCTTCTTCCTCTCAGGAAATGAACGCTCCGACTTCGGTATGCACCATAGGCATCCGTGAGTTCGCATGACACCCTCTTGGGTATTCCTTCTCGCGAGATTTTCTCTAAATAAACTTTTTCTTCCGTACGGGTTCTCAACCAGAAAGGGCCCTGAATTTATCCCGCCGGTCCATCGTTTCCCCCGTTTTCTCCTCCCAAAACCCGGATCCATGAATCCCTTAGAGACGGAGGGCGGAGACACCAACGTGCTGACGACGGTGCGAGATTTTGTAATGGGTCGTTCTGACGCCACGTCTTAAGTCTGATTTATACTTATTTCAAACGATTAACAAAATCTAGTAAAAATTAGCGTAAATTACAGTTGAAATGATTTAACATATTATTGCCCACCGGCAACTGCCATGTGCGGTTAAATAAATAAAATGTGGGTTGGTGCTATGAAATCGTTTTCGCAGTGTATCGCGTATAAGAATAGTAATGCTTCACAACCGTTACAATGATACTCAACATATAATGTATTATGTTGATGTTTATAATATTATGAACAATTTGTGCTTTTTACAGACAGCGATATAGCCGCGGGTATTCAATGGAGCGAATTCCTGGATCCATCGTTTATCAATAACTACGAAAGTGACCCATCACTATCATGGCAGTACTATGGAGCCACTTCAGGATTTTTACGACGCTTTCCTGGTAAATAAAAATATTATTATACAAATTATAATTAACATGTTTATTTTCGATCAAATAGATTGAAAGTAATATGAAAATCTCAGGCCCCATTTTACCGGTGAAGTTGCTATGTGCACGCACGTACGCACGCAAACGGTTTTATGCGAGAGGTAGACATCCAGAGCAGTTCCAAACAAGCGTCTGGAGCCGTGGCCTATCATTCTTGCTGCGGGGGTAGCGTATAACCACTCTCGTTATCATGCAACACTTATCATTTTCAAACCCCCCGCATCAACATAAGAATTGCGCAAGCGTCAATAGGGCTGAAATTAGTTGAAGTTTGAATCAGAACTTAGAAAAGCACATTTTATATTAGTTTATGTTCGTTATTAGTCGTTTTCGTTTAATTGTTAATTTTAACTAAACCTTCGTACAAACTTCAGGGATAAAACTGACCTTTATAGGGGTAAAACTGAACCTTATAGCTTTCAGTCTACAATATACTCTCTATATTATTTCAATCTCTGAATCTGATATCTTGTATATTATTTACAGATATTGATTGCTGATGCATTGATATAATACAGTGTCCACACAAGCTATAACATTCGATTTGTCGTAAAATTCTTAAAAAGAAAAAAAAACGGTCTGCGGAAGATTGAAATATTTATTATACGTATAACAAATATTGATTACAACTGGAAATTTCAATTAACACTTTCACGTCCGCACAATTTACAAAAATTTTCTTCTTTACCACCGAAATTTTTTGCAAACTTGTTTATTAAAATATACAAGTCTAAAACACAACATTCACTACAACATAATAAACTTAGCTGCTTTTTATGAAATGATATATGCAAATAAATATGGTTTATCGAAGTTACTGGAAAAAAAAAAATAATGAAAACACTTAAATATATTCTAGTTTAATGAATACACAGAGTGTTCCGAAATTACCTGACCAACGGGATATGACGGTGTTCGGGAGACACCATTGATCACGAAAATGACCTTCCTTTTCTTCGGAAGATCCTAGTTTTTAAATGGGAATAGGTCGAAGTTGACCAATCAGAGCGACGCATCAAGAGAAACGTAGGCACCTATGAACTCTGATTTTTCTTCCCTCGCTCTTGTTTCTCGGTGGTTGCGGACAGAAAGACGTCAGCCGAAGACATGCCTATTTGATGTCACTCGCTGTGAACAGAGGTTTTCAGTTAAATAGTAAAGCACTAACTGAAAACTGCAATATCCTATGATAATGTCATTTGACTTACGCAGATATCTCTGTAACGTTTTACATGGATTATCCTGATCTCGCTTTTCTTCCATTGGTCTCCAGCGATTCGTGCTACATTCCGTTGACGAATCGGAATAAAATTCTAATGCATTGATGATGTTACGTCCGAACCAGAATGCAGGCTTGGACTGGTGCCATTACCGAACCGTAATATACTGTCAATTAGCCCTGTTTTGAGTCAATGCTTGCGCACTTTACTCGGGATTGGGCTATGCCTCTAATTACCAAGGAAAGGATAAATCAACTGGATATACAGGGTGGGCCACGGAGCGTGATCAGTAGAGATTACTTTGATATTAGCAGTCCGATCGAAAATGTTTTTATCAGCTTTTGCATGGTTTCAAGAGAGCTTTAACGCGATAGGGAAAAATTACTGGTCAACTCTTTTTTTTAATGTTTTTTTTAAGGTTACCTTGAATTTTTTGCAACTGAACATATAATTTTTTT